CTGGGAGGCAGGGAGCGGCCAGCTCCACTACTCCGTCCCCGAGGAGGCCAAACACGGAACCTTCGTGGGCCGCATCGCTCAGGACCTGGGGCTAGAGCTGGCGGAGCTGGTGCCCCGCCTGTTCAGGGTGGCGTCCAAGGACCGCGGGGACCTTCTGGAGGTAAATCTGCAGAATGGCATTTTGTTTGTGAATTCTCGGATCGACCGGGAGGCGCTGTGCGGGCGGAGCTTGGAGTGTAGCATCCACCTGGAGGTGATCGTGGACCGGCCGCTGCAGGTTTTCCACGTGGAGGTGGAGGTGAGGGACATTAACGATAATCCGCCAGTGTTCCCAACAGCACAGAAGAGTCTCTTTGTTTCGGAAACAAGAGCACTAGACTCTCGTTTTTCACTAGAGGGCGCTTCAGATGCAGATATTGGAACCAATGCTCTGCTGACTTACAGATTGAGTTCCAATGAATATTTCTCCCTGGAAGTACCAAGTACAGATGAGCAGGTTAAACCACTCGAACTAGTGTTAAAGAAACCTTTAGACAGAGAACGAGCTTCTGAGCTTCACTTAGTGGTTAAAGCAACGGATGGGGGCAAACCCGAGCTCACAGGCACCTTGGAACTACATATCACAGTGCTGGATGCAAATGACAACGCGCCAGTGTTTGACAGAGCAGTCTATCGGGCGAGGCTGGTAGAAAATGCAAGAAATGGTACGCTGGTGGTTAAACTAAATGCCTCGGATTTGGACGAAGGTTCGAACAGTCATATTCTTTATTCCTTTGCAACGGATGTTTCCCCTAAGACAGAAGCTACTTTTCATATTGATTCAGTCAGTGGAGAAATTAAAGTCAGTGGAAAAATAGATTTTGAAGAAGCTAGTTTATGGAAGATTCAAGCAGAAGCAGTGGACAAAGGCAGTCCTCCAATGTTCGGTCACTGCACAATCTTAATTGAAGTCCTGGACATCAATGATAATGCTCCCGAGTTAATAATAACGTCATTATCACTCCCTGTACGAGAGGATGCTGCATTGGGGACAGTTATTGCCCTAATCAGCGTGACAGACCGTGATTCTA